GAATCAGGACTGGGATAAATCCCGGGAATCAGGACAGGGATAAATCCCGGGAATCAGGACAGGGATAAATCCCGGGAATCAGGACAGGGATAAATCCCGGGAATCTGGACAGGGATAAATCCCGGGAATCAGGGCTGGGATAAATCCCGGGAATCTGGACAGGGATAAATCCCGGGAATCAGGGCCGGGATAAATCCCGGGAATCAGGGCCGGGACAATTCCCGGGAATCAGGGCCGGGACAATTCCCGGGATCCCGCAGGCTCTGGGATGAGGCCCCATCCCGGTTTTTTTTTGGGATCAGCTCCCCCGGGGCCGATTCCAAACCTGGAAAATTCCCTCCCCTCCCCCCCCCCCAATCCCTGCGGGGCAATTCCAGCCCTGGGAACATTCCAGAACTTCCCTGGGAACATTCCAAGCTTCTCCCTCATGGAATTTTCCTGGATCTCGTCCCCTCCCTCCTGCCGGGCTGGAATTTGAATCCTTCCCGCCCCTCCTGGAAATTCCAGCCCCGATCCCAGCGGGAATTTCCCGGCCTCGCCTTCAATTCCCGGCTTTTCCCACCCCCGGGAAAATTCCTGAGGGATTTTCCGGCCGCTCTGGATTTCTGGGAATGTGGGAAGGGTTGGGATTGGTGCGGGGGATGCGGGGGAATGGGGGAAAAACCCGGGAAAAATCCCGGGAAAAATCCCGGGAAAAATCTGGGGGTGTGGGAAGGGAAGAAGGGGAGGAGAGGCCTTGAAAATCCGGGAAAAATCCAGGAAAATCTGGGAAAAAATCCGGGGAAATCTGGGAAAAAATCCAGGGAAATCTGGGGAAAAAATCCAGGAAAATCTGGGGAAATCTGGGAAAAAAATCCAGGAAAATCTGGGGAAAAAATCCAGGAAAATCTGGGGAAATCTGGGGAAAAAATCCAGGAAAATCTGGGAAAAAAGTCCAGGAAAAATCTGGGGAAATCTGGGAAAAAAATCCAGGAGAAATCTGGGAAAAAAATCCAGGAAAAATCTGGGAAAAAAATCCAGGAAAAATCTGGGAAAAAAATCCAGGAAAAATCTGGGAAAAAAATCCAGGAAAATCTGGGGAAATCTGGGAAAAATCTGGGAAAATCTGGGGAAAATCTGGGAAAGATCCAGGGAAAATCCTGGGGGATGTGGGAAGGGAAGAAGGGGAGGAGAAGCCTTGAAAATCCGGGAAAAATCCAGGAAAATCTGGGAAAAATCCAGGGAAAATTCAGGAAAATCTGGGGAAAATCCAGGAAAAATCTGGGAAAAATCCGGGGAAATTCGGGATAAATCCGGGAAAAATGCGGGCGGGGTCAGAAGGGGCCGAGATTCCAAACACAGCCCCAGAAATCTGGGAAAAATCCAGGAAAATCTGGGAAAAAAGTCCAGGAAAATCTGCGAAAAAAATCCAGGAAAATCTGGGAAAAAAGTCCAGGAAAAATCTGGGGAAATCTGGGAAAAAAGTCCAGGAAAAATCCAGGGAAATCTGGGAAAAAAGTCCAGGAAAATCTGCGAAAAAAATCCAGGAAAATCTGCGAAAAAAATCCAGGAAAATCTGGGAAAATCTGGGAGAAAAATCCAGGAAAAATCTGGGAAAAAAATCCAGGAAAAATCTGGGAAAAAAATCCAGGAAAATCTGGGGAAATCTGGGAAAAATCTGGGAAAATCTGGGGAAAATCTGGGAAAGATCCAGGGAAAATCCTGGGGGATGTGGGAAGGGAAGAAGGGGAGGAGAAGCCTTGAAAATCCGGGAAAAATCCAGGAAAATCTGGGAAAAATCCAGGGAAAATTCAGGAAAATCTGGGGAAAATCCAGGAAAAATCTGGGAAAAATCCGGGGAAATTCGGGATAAATCCGGGAAAAATGCGGGCGGGGTCAGAAGGGGCCGAGATTCCAAACACAGCCCCAGAAATCTGGGAAAAATCCAGGAAAATCTGGGAAAAATCCGAGAAAATTCAGGATAAATCCAGGAAAAATCCGGGAAAAATCCGGGAAAAATCCTGGAAAAATCCAAGGGAAAAATCCTGTGGAAAAATCTGGGGAAATCCAGGAAAAATCCAGGAAAAATCCTGGAAAAATCCTGGAAAAATCCAGGAAAAATCCAGGAAAAATCCTGGAAAAATCCTGGAAAAATCCAGGAAAAATCCAGGAAAAATCCTCAGGAAAAATCTGGGGAAATTCAGGATAAATCCAGGAAAAATCCTGGAAAAATCCTGGAAAAATCCGGGAAAAATCTGGGAAAAATCCAGGAAAAATCCAGGAAAAATCTGGGGAAATTCAGGAAAAATCCGGGAAAAATCTGGGAAAAATCCTGGGAAAAATCCTGGAAAAATCCAGGAAAAATCCAGGAAAAATCCAGGAAAAATCCTCGGGAAAAATCTGGGGAAATTCAGGATAAATCCAGGAAAAATCCTGGAAAAATCCTGGAAAAATCCGGGAAAAATCTGGGGAAATCCTGGAAAAATCCTGGAAAAATCCGGGAAAAATCTGGGAAAAATCCTGGAAAAATCCGAGGGAAAAATCTGGGGAAATTCAGGAAAAATCCGGGAAAAATCCTGGGAAAATCTTGGAAAAATTTGGGAAAAACCCGAGCAGGGTCAGAAGGGGCGGAGGCGGCCCCGGGAATTCCGGGAATTCCGGGAATGTCGGGAGTTCTGGGAATCCCGGGAATGTCGGGCAGGAATCCCGGGAATATCGGGAATTCCGGGAATGTTGGGAATTCTGGGAATTGCGGGAATATCGGGAATTCCGGGAATGTTGGGAATTCTGGGAATTCCGGGAATGTTGGGAATTCTGGGAATTGCGGGAATATTGGGAATTCCGGGAATGA